ACGGTACTTTATTGACTTATAATCAGATTTTTATTATTTCTTTTCTTTGTTTTTCTTCCAATTGATACATTATAAACTTTCAAAATATGGAATGCACATCCGACTATAATTAATTACTCCTTAAAAATTAAATAAAAATTATTTATTAATTATTTAAACAATAAACACCGGTTTCCGTAATTTAATAAACCTTTTGGTAAAATCTTGTATAATTTAATTTTTTTTATATTGATTCAATTGAGCTAAAGTTTTAAATTTTTTTTTTTCTTGCATTTGCTAATATGAAACTGTCTGAAATCCGTGATGTTATTGGGAACCATTTTCTTTTTAGATTAAGTTATTTACCAAAACTAGCTCAGTCTTCTTAGTTTGGACTTTCAAAAAAAGTTTCCCATGTACGAATATCAAAATAACTTTCAGAAGGTAAACTAATATTAGTTCGAACTTCTCGTGTCTTCATTCCGATATTCTCTTGAAACAGTGCTGCTATGAGTTGATATATACTGTATGAACCCAATATCGGCATAATAATATCACTCCAATCAACTAGGACAGTCGCTATATACTGTTTTAACTATACCTTACCTGAAGACCAAATGTCAAAATCTCTTTTTTCATATTTGAGCAGAACGTTCTTTCCTTTTAGAGAAGGACCTTTTATTATTTGCTGAAATTTTAATGAAACGACTACGAGTCATGTTAAGAAAATCTAAAAATTGGCAATAGTTTGGAAGAAAAATTTAAAAATTAAAAGAAGATCATAGGAGGAGCACGAAAAAATATTTTATGGGAAAAATTAAAACTTCATAACGAGGGTAGGGATACAAAAGAGGAATTCATGGACATAGATGTATAAAGTCTTATTGTTAGTCAGTGTTAATAGCACAATATTTGTGCAAATAGGCAAATAAGGAATATGTTTGTACTAAGACCTAAATTCCGGCCCGAAATTTTAAATCGGTCAGACGCAAAGTCTTGTGACAACGAGAGTGTATCGGATAAAAAATGTCAACAATAGACTCGTTATTCTATATAATATCTTTTATTTTGATTTCTTTATATAACTACTATTAACAATTGATTCTTCGTACTGCTTATGGATTATCTATAACGAGTGACTTAAAATTGTTCCGATTGAGAATGTATGTACAAATGAATAAACTAAAAGTAAATGTATTATACTCTTTTTATATTTTAATTTATTAAATTCACGCAACAAAAGGATAATCCTGGCTTATTAGACATCATTGTATTCGAATTCGGGTGTTTTATGATATCTCACTGTAACAAACAAATGCTTTAAATTTTCAAATAAGGAAAGTGGAAATTAATCGTAGAATTCAACTTACAATAAAATCCAAGGTTATTTCCAAAATTCCGATGACATCTTATAGTGTTAATACTTTGAATAACAAGTATGGTTAGGCTCGCGATAGCTGTATTGACAAATTAAAGAATTTTAATATACATATAAAACAGGTTATTAAAGAATAAAAATGAATTACTCACTGTATATAAAACAGTATTTATAAAAATAATTATTTTTAAGCAAGTACCAAAATTCACATCTAAATTTACTTTCATTCATGAAATCACTTGGACACAAGTTGTATATATTCAAGAAAACAACTAACCATTCACACACATTACCAACATACACAATACCCATTAAAAGATGTGATTCACTTCTGATCTAGAAATAAAATGAAAAATCATCATTAGAATCATTTTTTTAAAAGCCTGGTTTTAAAGTTGTCGTGACACGTAACTGCTTTAATCACCAATAAAATGTAAAATTGAAAAATAAAGTAAGCTAGAAAGAAATTATCCCATAATTCCTTTATCTCAGCCCCATAAGCAATAATTTTTATATGAGCAGTTAAAATTTCCATAATCCAAATTGAACCTGCTAAAAATATTGTCGTTATGATTTGAGCATGTACCAAAACTAGTTGGATTTGATATGTGGCATGCATTTCTAACCAATTTTTTTTTTTTTTTTTTTTTTTAGAAATTGTTATTATTAATAAAACAAATATATATAAAATAAATTCAATCTCCTACTTTTTATGTGTTGATTTCTTGTGATGTTAAAATCTTTTACAACCGCCCAAGTTCTAGGAGCAATATTAAATTTTATTTCTTTGTGATTGATCGTATCTAATGCCAATATACCTTTCATTAGAAACTTACTTCTTTTTCCAAAGTAAAAATACCAATACAATTATCGTCATTTCAAATATAATTGATGAAAGCGTTAAGTAGGTACTTTCAATTTGTACGATATTCATCCAATTATCTTCGTATGTTTGCAACAATGCACAATCTGAAATTTGACATTTTTTGATAGAATTATGCCATATTGGTTGTTTTATGATCGAAATTGCATTAAATGAGCAAAATACTATTCCATGTAATACAGATTTCTGTCGAACCTATAAAAAAAAATAAATATATATATATAGTTTATTAAAAAAAAAAAAAAAAAAAGGTAGACCGCTTGATTAAAATTTAATAGTTTATTTTTATTAATACTCATACGGTAATGAAAGAAGAGATGAAATAAATGATCATCATTCCACTTGAAAAGTGTGTAGATCGTGTATATGGTCTAGTTATATAAAAAATATGTGAAATTACAATTGTATATACAAGATAATGGATGAAACATGAAATGATAAAGATTTTTTCCAGATAAGAATATCCTTGTAACAAATGAAAAGTATCCTTATTCGAATTTTGCAATGAATTCTTTGGAATGTTCATGTTTTAAAAGTTTGAGATACATGATCTCTAGAATGAAGCATTTATGAAAAGTGGGATTGCTGATCTTTTTCCGAAAATTATCTTTCATTGAAACAATGGCATTTCGAATTTTGAAAATACTGTATATTTTTTCTAATTTTTCTAATTAATTAACTTGTTGAATTTGATCACGTGATAGAAAAATGACAGAAATATATTTTGATAATATTTCTCATTTTGATGTGAATTTTGAAATCTTGAAAATTCAGGATTAGGATTCAATACTAAATTATAAATAAAATAATAAAAAAAGTTATTATATGCAACCCTTAATAATTTACGTTACGTTTTTAACTCGAGGCGATTCAATAAATCAAATAAAAATTAATTTGTTTTACAGCATAAATGGTATGATCACGTGATTTTGAGAAAATGGTCTTTATCTAGATTGAAAATTTACAGGCATCTTTAGCTTCTTTTAGTTAATATATACAACGAAATCACATGTCCTTAATAAAGTTTATTGCAAATTTACAAATGGGAGATAAGCTATTAAAATCACGTTACGGATCATATGATTTACTATGTTCGTAACTTGATTTTAATAGCAAACCTCCCAAATGGTTGACTAATGATCTATGTTTTTGATAAAATTATTTTTGTGACAGCGCGCATAAATAAAATTGATTAGAATCGAAATGAAAATTCGCGATTAATCGATTCTAAAATCGACCATAGTCAATCTATTTCCTATTTTCGGCTTCAGTCTGCATTGGAAAGGTTGCTTTTTAATTCGTTTTAATTTAATTAATTTTTTTTTTTTTTGATTTTATTTCATTTGATTTTTCCCCCTCTTTTAGGCTATTTCTTTTGGATCACTTCAATTTGCATAGGTAAAATTATCATTTAAATTATTTTGTATTATTTCGAGTTTTTTTTTTCTTCGATCGCATTAGGACGCAGCGATCGAACGATTCCTTTATTATTTTTTTTGAACTTTGCTCTTTTAGATTCCTCTTTCGGATTGATTCGCTTCCTTTGAACAGCAGGGATGGTGGCAATTGAGGAAAATCGTTACATTACGATTCAGGCCTCCCTAATTCTATTATAGAAATTTAGAATCCAAGGATCAGTATTTTTGCCGGAAGATTTTCGATGAGTATTATATGATTATAAATCATTTACAAATCCTACTTTATAAAAAAAAATATTGGCAAGAAAGTTAACTTCAAGAAGATGAAACGTTTTTCATCAATTGTTGAATCAACGTTTTAAAATGTTTATGAAGAAAATGTGTCAAATGATGTTAATTTTCCAATGTGAAAAATCATCCAATTTTTCACTTTTATTAAGATCAATTGTAAAAGAATTAGTTCATAGAAATGTAAAAAATTTCATTAATAGAGGGTTAGCTTAGTTACTCGATATGCAAAATGTTTCTATTAAATGTTAATTTTAGAACCACGATACCAATTTCGATTGCTTTGATTATGATGAATCAAAGAATGAATTTTGGATTTCAGTATACCTAAATTGGAATTTTGGCGACACTGTAAGGACTTTTTATCAACTTTACCGTTATTCGGAATTACAGATTTATTTTTTTTATGTCGCTTAATTCTAGTTAGTATAAAAATTTTTCTGTGTTCCTAGGTTATTTAATGTGAATCACAATACCCGTGTCATTCATCCCGTGAAGCATAGTTATGCATATTGGCGTTTAGCTTAGTACTTATTGCATAATGTGTGTAATCAAGATTTCAAGAGATAGAAACGAAGAAACAATTTGCGCGTGCTTATTGCGTAATGAGTCATTAAAACTTGTACGTTAATTTTAGAAAATCGAACAACTAAATAGTAAAATCGATCCTTGGAGAATCAAAGTGCTGATAGAACTGATGTGAAAAAAAAAAAAATTTATTCGTAGATCTAATTGATTGTGAAATGGTTTTTTGATGAGGGATATTTTCCCAAAATTTTTTTGTTTTCGCTTTTTTTAAAAAAAATAAAAAAAATTATCATAAAAAAATGAAAAAGTCACGGAGTCACAGAGGTCATTATTCTTCTGCTAGAATTTAATACTAACCTACCCTAATTTTTCTATTTTATTAGCATCTTATTCGGCATTTATCATGTCATAAACTATTAACATTTATTATGTCGAAGCAAATGACATTTATCATGTCGAACATGCTGACTGATGTGTGTGAAAAACATGCAACACCTGCAGCATGCACTGAAAAGTGGTAAGTTATAATATTTCCATTTTCTTTTCTTATGAATGAAATCTGTGCTGTTACGTGACGATACATTTGTTTGTGAATCTTCAGAATAAAATAATTATTTTTATTTTTAAAAAATTGTTTGCTGTTCTCCCCTCTAATCTTATAAATAAAATTATACTTATTGTAAAATAAAATAAATTATTTGCTTTAAATAATTTTTTTTTATTTATTTTTATTTGCTTCAATGTAAAAAAATAAAAAAAATATTAACACATTTCAAGAAATTAAATATTAAGTGATATATTTGAAGTAATCTCTTCAAAATACATTATCAACATGTATCTTTACTGTGGACGAATTTGAAATTGGATAAATCGGATAATTAGATATAACTGGCAAGATTTTCTTAATGACCAATCATTTGAAAGCCAAGCCTAGCATTTGAATTTATGTCATGTGGCTTTGTAATTCTGGTCAAAATTATCTATAATTTCATCTTAATTTTTTTTTCTTATAATTATTCTTGCCGACTTTAACTTCACATTATGTTTAAATTTGGCTGATATTGTAAATCATAAGTCATTCAAATGGTCATTTCAAAATAATCAAATGACTTGGTCATTTGCCATCACTAGAGACGACTGGAAGCATCTGGAACGTGTAAGGTATCCGACGAGAACATCGCAACCCAGAAAAAATGAAGCTTCCCCTACAAAGTAAAGACCCCAGTCCATACAAGGGAGAGTCTTTGGGTTTCTGATATAACTTTATTATTTTATTGTATTTTATATTTATTTTTTATTTTTTATTGTTTTTATTCTCCTTGGCGTTTGCTTCCCAGTTTTGTCCTTCTGGCGTTTGTGCCAGTTATACGTACTGAAATTTGGTAACGTGATCGAAGCACTTTGACTGAAAGAACGTAACCGAACCTAGTTCAGAACCTTTTGCTGTTTCCAAAGAAAACTTCTAGTTTTTGTATTCGCGAGAGGAGAGGAGAGATATTGAATTACAAAATGTCAATGTACATTTGAACTCTTATAAATTTTACAATATAAAAAAATATATATTTCTTTATTTACAATTATAAAATTCCTGCAAATTTTTTAAATTTATTAAATATTAATCGAGCCGTTTTTTTTTGATTTGATAAATCTCATTTAGTAACTGAATGGTATTGCTAGCTGCAAATTTTCTTTCTGAATGTGCCATACATTCAATAAAAATTTTACGTAAAATAATTTTACTTTTAAATAATCTTATAACTTAAAAAAGATATTTAGGATAAAGAATACCGAATTACTTTGTACCAGTTTGCTTAACTTTAAATGTAGAAGATTTATTAATTTCTTCTTTTTTTTTTTGCGCTGCGTTTAGTTACTAGATAAGGTTGTCATTTCTGGCGTTCTTATGGCATATGCTTTATACGGCTTTATATATCAGTGTTCGACAAATGACTTGAAATGACAAATGATTCAAATGACAAATGACAAATGACATGACATTCCATTGTTCAAATGACAAATGACCTGAGTCATTTGAATGTAATGTCGGCCAGTACTATTGTTCTGGCCTGCATTCCGTTTGCTTTACTTTTCAATTGGAATCACATGATAAGGTATCAACCAATCAAAATCAAATGACTGAAATGACCAAATGACAAAGGATTCGGAATAATGACAAATGATTGGGCAAATCATTTAAATGGTCATTTCCGAACACTGTTATATATGGATGAAAGTTTTTTTTTAGCTTACATGATGATAAAAAAAAACTATTACGATCTTCTTTTTCTTTTGATTCCTCTTCAAATCCGATAGTTTCGAAGGTATCAGGTGAGTCGATTTTATTTTTTGTTGGTTTGTCTTTTTGGTTTTTTTGTTTGATTGCACCGATTGAACTTTTTCGATGTCTTCCTGATCTTGTATCCTTATTTTCTTTAGGTTCCACAGTTTTTTTTTGATATTTTCATTTAATTATTTTTTTTTAGCTTTCTTAGGTAATTTGGATCGCTTCATTTTTCATAGGCAAGATTTAATTTATTTTTTATTTTTAGGTGATTGGATACTGCGGACCGTAGTAATTATTTTATTTTTTAACTTCCACTTTCGGTTGGCTTAATTAGGTAGATATCCAAATGATCATTAAATCAGGCCAATGTTTCGGGTAGCACAAATTATTGTGTATTTCTCGAACTCTACTCTAGAATAAACATAAAGAATACTTTCGAAAGGGTGTAACATTAAATAACTATAAGTATCGTGAGATTTTTCATATTTTAAAATATTTCATTTTATAACAATGGAACTTGAAAAATCTTTTGATCCAACTCCAAAATTAAAATCCAGTCCTATACCAATTACGTTTATTCCTTTTAAAAATGAGTCTTTTTGTCATTGTGGAAATGAATACTCAAGGACAGTTATATTTTACCAAAGATATTGTAAAAATTGCTTATCCAAGTATGTTAGTTGCATAACTGATAATAATACGTATTTGGATCTACTTATAGTTAAAAATGATACGTATTGTAATAAACATGAAGCTAGGAATGCGGATTTTTGCACGCAAG